AACGCTTTGAATAATTCCCTCATAAAAATTAAATGGTGTTATTCAAATCGTTTTTAGCTAAAAAAGCCTTGAATAATCCCCTGCCATTTTTTTGGATTATTCAAGGCGTTTTTAGTGAGAAACGCCGAGAATAATTTTTTACAAAAAATTGAATAGGATTATTCAATGCGTTTTTAGCCAAAAATCCCTTGAATAATTCATTAACAAAAACATTGGAATAGCTTAGTCAGTTAGAGCATATGGCTATTAACCATAAGGTCATAGATTTGATCCTCCCTTTGGCATTTGAGGGTTTTCCAATGGATTAGTGAAGCCATTTTTGGCAAAAAAATACCTTAAATAATCCTATTTAATTTTTTGTAATGGATTATTCAAGAATTTTTAGCCAAAAACAACTTCAATAATCCGTGGAAAACCTTCAAAATACTCGAAGGAAGGATTGAACCTATAACCTTATCATTAATAGCAGTACACTTTAACCGATTGAGTTACTTCAACATTTTTGTTAATGGATTATTCAAGGCATTTTTTGCCAAAAACGCCTTCAATAATCCTATTCAATTTTTTGTAAGGAATTATTCAATGTGTTTCTAGCCAAAAATACCTTCAATAATCCCTTGAAAAACTCTCAAAATGCTAGAATGAGAGATCGAACCTATGATCTTATGGTTAATAGCCATATACTCCAACCAACTAAGTTGCTCCACTATTTTTATTAATGAATTATTCAAGGTATTTTTTACTAAGAACGCGTTGAATAATCCTATTCAATTTTTTATAAGGGATTATTCAAGGCGTTTCTCATCAAAAACACCTTCAATGATCCCTTAGAAAACCCTCAAAACGCTAAAGAGAGAGATCGAACCTACAACCTTATGGTTAATAGCCATATGCTCTAACTGATTGAGTTGCTTTAGTGTTTTTGTTAAGGGATTATTCAAGCATTTTTGGCCAAAAACGTCTTCAATAATCCCCTATAAAATTTTTTGTATGAATTATTGAAGGCTTTTTTGGTCGAAAACACCTTCAATAATTCTTCTCCAAATTTTTTTGAATGGGCTATTGAAGACGTTTTTGGCCAAAAACGCCTTCAATAATCCTATTCAATTTTTTTGTAAGCTAATAGTTTTTTTTTTTTTGTGCCTATACTAATGGTTACTTTAATAACTGTCAATATCTAACATATTTATACTAATGATATATATCATCAAAAAAAAATTATTTATACCGACGGTTAAATAAAGTGTTGATATAAGTATGATATATTCTGACGGTATTAAAAACCCATCAGTAGTCTTTTTTACTAACAAAATTTGATCGTCAATAAATAATCCATACAAAAAATATTTTATGGATTATTGGAGGTATTTTTTTGCTAAAAATCCCTTCAATAATCTCTTTTTAAAATTTTTTGAATGGATTATTAAAGGCGTTTTTAGCCAAAAATGCCTTCAATAATCCCATTCAATTTTTTGTAAGCTAATAGTTTTTTTTTTTTGTTTTGAGCCTATACTAACGGTTACGTTAATAATCATCAGTATATAACATATTTATACTGACAGTAGTCATATACTATTAGAAAAAAATTATTTATACCAACGATTAAATAAAATGTTGGTTTAAGTATGATATATTCTGACAGTATTAAAAATTCATTAGTAAAAGTCTTTTGTACTAATGAAATTTGATTGTTAGTATAACCAAGCGTCAATATATGAAAAATCTTTTATAATGAGTAGACCATTAGTAAAGGTGGTGGATTGGACAAGGTTTGGGAACAACTTTGCATGGAATCAAGAAAGAGTCAGTCATAATTAAAAATAAGAAGAGGTAGGATATAGGTGACAAGCCTACTATTACGTGCTTGCATTTTTCATTGCACACGGCTTTCTCTATGCATACCTAAAGCCAATTTATTCCCAAAATAGGATAAGAATGATGATGGAGAAAAAAATAAAAACCCAAAATGGGAAAATATAAGAGGTAGCCTTTAGAGTTTGAAAGAGTTGAACTAGTCTTAAACATTGAATTCATATGATCAAGAAACATATGGTATAAATCATTGATTGCATTTTTACCATTCAGATTCATTATAGTAGTCACATGTATTGCATACATTCTTTTGATAAAATTATATTGAAGGTCTTTCATGAAAAGATATTAAATGGAATCAGAATGTCTTCCAAAACAAAGTTTTATTAGTCTCAAAAGAAAAATTTATCCCTAGTCATTTTTATTTCCTGACTCATGGTTCAATCTCAATCATATTTGTTTCTTGACTTGTAGGTCAGTTCCAATAATCTTTTTCTTTTTTTTGACTTAGGGTCAATCCTAATTATTCTTTTCTTTTTTTTACTTATGGCTCAATCCCAATCATTTTTATTTTCTAACTTGTGGTTCAGTCTCAGTCATCCTTGTTTATTGACTTGCATTTTATCCCAGTCATCCATATTTTTTTACTTACGATTTAATTCCAATCATCTTTTTTTTTTTAACTTGTAGCTCAATCTCGATCATCTTTATTTTTTAACTTGTGATTCAATCCCGATCATTTTCATTTTTTGACTTAAGGTTCAATCTTAGTCATCCTTATTTTTCTGACTTATGGCTTAATCCCAGTCATCCTTATTTTTTTTGACTTGTGGCTCAGTCCCATTCATCTCTATTTTTTGACTTGTGGTTTAGTCTTAATCATCTTTATTTTTTGATTTGTAGTTCAATTCCGACCATCCTTGTTTTCTAACTTATGGTTTTGTCCCGATCTTCTATATTTCCTAACTTACAACTCAATCTCGATTATCGTTATTTTTTTCTAACTTACAGTTCAATCTCAATCATCCTTATTTTTTATTTTGCTACTTAGTCTCGATTATCTTTATTTTGTGAGTTATGGTTTAGTCCCAATCATCTTTACTTTTCTAAAGTGGCTTAATCCCAGTTATCTTTATTTTTTTTTTACTTGCAATTCAATCTCGATCATCTTTATTTTCTGACTTATGGTTTTGTCTTAATCATCTTTATTTTTTGACTTTCGATTTAGTCTCAGTCATTCTTGTTTTTTGACTTATGATTTCATCACAGTCATCTACATTTCTTGACTTGTGACTCAGTCTCGGTCATTTTTTTTTACTTGAGGTTTAGTTCGCCTCATCATTACTGTTTGACATGCAGCTCAGTCCCTATCATCTTTATTTTTTACCTTATATTTTGTCATAGTTATCTTTATTTTCCTAACTTGTGACTTTGTCATCGTCATCATTATTTTTTCAACTTGCAGCTCAGTCGCTATCATTTTTATTTTTTGACTTGGGATTTAGTAACGATCATCTTTATTTTCTAAATTATGATTCAATCTTGGTCATCCTTATTTCATGATTTGCGATTTCATTGTGGTCATCTATATTCCATAACTTACGGCTTTGTCCTAGTCATCCATATTCCATGACTTACGGCTTAGTCCTAGTCATCCTTATTTTTTAACTTGTAATTCAGTTCTAGTCTTTTTTTATTTTTCAACTTGTGGTTCAATCCCGATCGTTTTGTATTTCTCGACTTGTAATTTCATCTCAGTCATCTTTATTTTTTGGTTTATGGCTCAGTCTCGATCATTCTCATTGTCTAACTTATGTATCAATCCTAATCATTTTTTGCAATTTATGGATTTTAAGCTTAAACTACAAAAAGCAAAAACAAAACAAAACAAAAAACCAAAAAAAAAAAAATTCACCTCAGGAATAACATCTAGACAAATTTGTTGTCTATGTTTTTATATTATTCTTGATCCTTAAAAATTTACAAAAAAAAGCAACTATAGACTATAGTTGTTAATTTCATTTCAATACTAGATTTGGTACCAGATTATACTAGTTGTTTTCGTTAGTTTCTATTGATTTCAGTGAATTTTAATGGAATAACATGTTTCAGTCAATATATGAATATGAAATATATTTTGTAATTTTTAATTTATTTTTTGTTGTTTAATTATTTTTACCTATTAAAAATAAAATTAATTGATAAAATAACCTTTGAAAGTTGAGTTTTTTTATTTTTTATTTGAACTTGTTTTGTTATACTTTATTTTTTAAAACCAAAGTTTATATTTTATATTTTATATTTTCAAACCAAAGTTTATAAGTATTTTAATTTCTTTCAAGAAAACAATTATGCTCCCTTTATAAAGTTTATAATGCCTTAGTTAATTTTTTCATCTCTTTGTTTTTATCTTAATATTTACATAAAAAAAATACTTATTTAAATATCATATAATCAGATTAAGTGTTTATAATTATCATAAAAATTTTTTGATATTATTTCTTATGTTTCTAAACTTATTTATTTGATTTTTGAAGATATTGCATATTTATTTTGTATATTATTAATAGCATTATAATATACAAGTTCATGCATGTTTATAAATACATTTGTACTAAATCGAGAAATCTAAAATAATATGCCAAAATAACTAATATCAATATATACCATATTTTTAAAAAACAAAACTAAAATATTATCCGATATGATATTTACAACCTTATTGTAGACACTTAATTTTATCCAAAATATTTTATTTTTTTAAATTAGCACACTTTTGCAATAGGACTCTAGTCATAATTTTTTTGAGCCCATTACATGATCCATTTTTAAATATTTTAGTATGAGGTCCAATGTGGGCCTCATAGTGAGGCCCGTTGCATAGGCTAAATGAATACCTAAAATCACCCAATAAAAGGCTAGATAAAATATTCCTTTTTAAAACCATTAATGACCATTATTGACCATAAACATTAAACATTAAACAAAAAAACCCAAAAAAAATAAAAATCATTAAATAAAAAACCAAATAATAAGATGTAAAAAATATTTTAAAATTAAAAAAAATGAAAAATAACAAAATACAAAATAAAATTGGCCCAAATGGTTAAACCCCAAAAAAATAAAGCCCAATCTTGGCCACAAAGCTTAAGGCCCACAAAGTATTAGGTTTTCTTAAAACCCAAGATATGGCAATTGAAAAAGGCCCATCTGGCTTAACCTTGCATGGGCATGTCATGCAAGCTTAACGTGAAAAAAAAAAAAAAAAAAAAAAAAACAACAACAACAACAACCTGAAAGGAAATGGTATCATGAAGTTGGCAATGTGGGGACGGGCAGAAATGGTTGCGAAAAACTGAAGAAGAACGTGAGGCAGGAAAAGGAGGAAACTGAGAAGAAGCGAGAAAAAAAAAGGGGAAAAATTGAGCAGAAAGGAAAAGAAACGGAGCAGGAAAAAACAAGCAGAAAATATGAGGAACCATACGTGATCAAACCAGAGAAAAAAAACCAGAAGAAAGAAACAAGAATTGCCAGTAGCAGGAGAAGAAGGGATACCAGACCAGAAAAGAACAAAACGGGTAGAAATAAAGCAAAGCTTGCGAAGAAAAAGCGAAGACAAGGAAATTCAAAAGGGCAAAGACTCAGGCTACTCCAAAGAAAGGTTTTTTTTCTCTCTCGAAGTCTCCCACGAAGAAGCAGCAACAAGAGGAAAAGCGAAAACGGAGGTACCATTTCCATAAAAACTTGGAGCTTATTTCTAGATTTCGTTTTGTCTTGTTTTCTTTTGCATGGTGCCATCTTTTTACATTAGTTGTGGCATATAAGAGCTTCATGGGATTTTCCTTGTTTTTGGAATGATGAAGGCTTGATATAATAAGGGTCTCATTTAGAAAAACAGAAAACAGAGGCTAATCCACAAGATGCCTCCTGCAAAAGAAAAAAATAGTTCTTTTAGCTTTGTTCTAACGTCCATTGCTCTGGGTACTTTAGGGGCTTTAAAGTTTCATTTGTTTTCATGTCTACTGGTCCCTCCTACGCATGATCAGTGTAGGGAAGCTTAAAGCTTCAGTTTTCTCAGGTCTACCGTTTATTGTTTTCGCCGTGAATGAACTGGCATGAAGCTTAAAGCTTCATCTTCATGCCATGCTTAACCATGCAGCCTATTCTTTCTTCTCTTCCACTTTACATGTGATATGTATGATGCATACTATTTTATTAGTCAATAGATCTCAACATTTCATGAGTTTGCTTTTACTGCATGTGGGATTTTACAGAAGAAAGATGCCTATTAAGTTCTTGCTTGCTTTATAATTTTTGCATGTTGGTTTTTTGTGGAGAGGAGTTAGACGAATAGAACACTATGTTACTTGGTTTTATTTTATTTTGTTTTATTGTTTATTTTATTTGTTTATTTTATTTTTCTTTATTCTACCATTTAATTATTATTTGGGTCTTTAGGAGTTCTTGCTTTATTTTAGTTTTTTTTGTAAGTTAAGACTAAGGAAAATAGCTTAAGGATAATACAAATTTAAAAGAAAAAAATTAATTAAAAGTAAGTAAAAAATTAAAATTATCAAAATTATTAAATAACTTATTAGGATTGATCAATTTTAAAAACCTTAGGCCATATGAATGTTTAAATATCATTTTGTATTCTTACTATTATTATTTTTATTATTATAATCATATTTATTTTCAATTAAGTTTGATTGCGATTGTTTAATAACTTTGCACATGTATTAGCCTTTAAATTGGCATACTTATGTTATCTTTGATTATATTCATACATTCTAATTGTTATTTGCATTTTTAAAATTTCCTAAAAAATAATAATAAATGTAGACACCCAATTTGGTCCAAGCTTGGATCAATTGGGCTTGGTCCAAATGGGTAGGCCTATTTTTATTTTTTTAATTATTTTTATTTTTTTTCTAAATTTTTATTATTTATTATTACTATTATTATTTATTAATATACATATATATTTACTTATCTATTAACATATATTATTATATAGATATATTTTCTTTTATTATTATTTATCTATTATTATTATTTATCTATTATAGTATTTTTATTTTTATTTTTTCTTTTTCTTCTTATTCGGCTGGGATTAGGATAAAGATTTAGAGTTCTATCATGAATTTAGGATTCAATCAGAATCCAGATTGGATTCAAGGATTGAATCACAATCCAAGAGGGAATTTGGATTGATCAGAAACTCTTATGATCAATCTCCATAAATAGGTGCTAGAATAGAACAAAAAACACACTGACAGAGAGAGAGTGAGAAGAGAAAGAAAAAAAAGTCGTTCAAAAAGGTCAAAAGCAATTTCAGGATTTTTTGGAGAATTTTAGGTGAATTTTTTTCTGGAAATTTCTAGAAAAATTTCAGATTTCAGTTGAATTTTTTGACGAAGTTTGAATTTTTAGATGAATTTTCTAGCATCGGTTGAACTTTTCGGCCAACTACCCAGTTTCCAGCAACTATTTCAGAAACCGATTAACTTTTCGATGAACATTCGACGAAAAACCCATATGTCGATGACATTTTCCAGAATCCAGTGAGATTCAACCGGAGTTCTTCATTCGGGTAGAGAGAGAGAGGAGGAAAGAAAGGGAAGAAATAGAGAGAAAATGAGAGATCTGTTGAAAGATCGAGGATATAGCCTTTTATATATGTTGAAAATGACGTACTTTTGGCATTACTGTTGTTAGAGGATCCACACGTTTTGAAATCAGACGATCCGACCCGAGCGCCAACCCGCTTTTGACCCGAGTGCGAGCCGTTTCTGAAGTCGAGCTAAACAGAGCCGAGTCGCGTCTTCAAACTGTTTTCTTCCTCAAATCAAAGACGAGCCGAGCCGCTAAGCCGAGTCGTTCCCAGGTTTTATTTATTTATTTATTTTTATTATTATTATTATTATTATTATTTATTTATTAGATTATAATTTTTTAGTACTTTTTATTTTATTTTATTTTTATTTCTTTTTTCTTTATTTATTTCTTTATTTTTATTTTATTTTAATTTTTTATTATTTTCTTTAAATAAAATTCAAAAAAAATATTTTTACGAAAAGTTGAAAGTATCAATTTTCCTTGAAAAATAAGTTTTTCTACAAAATATTTTTGAAAAAAAATTGAAAGTATCAATTTTTCTTGAAAATAAGTTTTTTTCTAAAAAATATTTTGGAGGAAAAGTTGAAATATCAATTTTCCTTGAAAATAAGTTTTTTATAAAAAATATTTTGGAGGAAAAGTTGAAAGTATCAATTTTCCTTAAAAATAAGTTTTCAAAAAAAAAGTTTTTTTTAGGAAGTTGAAAGTATCAATTTTTCTCGAAATTAAAGTTTCTAAAAAATATTTTGGGAAAAGTTGAAAGTATCAATTTTTCTTGTACAAAAGCAATGAATTTTTGAAGAGAAAAAGATTTATATCTAAAGCTAAATCATTTTTTTCTTTTTATTTTCTTGAATTTTTTTTAATGTTAAATAATCCGACGATGGAGCGTCTGCAAGTGAAACAATAGTCTCCTTGCATACTCTTGAGGTGAAGGAATTTTCTAAATTTTTTGCTAAAAGTATTAGAGTCAATTGAGAATAATTTTCAATAGTTAATTACTCGATAAATTTTTAAAGCTTATTGGATAACACAAAATTAAGCTAGTACCATCTTTCGATTGGCGTTGTGAGGGTGCTATAACATTTCTCACACATAACCGAACTCCTGAATCTTGTTCTGATTAGTAAACCTAAACCTATTCTTTTAAGGACCCTTAAGCTTAGGTGTTCCTTGAAAGGATAGATTATTTAGGTGACTAATCGCACCTAGATAAAAAAGATTGGTGGCGACTCCTTAAGTTAATGCCTAGCGATGGATCCCCGGACAGTTTGGGGACTCCACTAGGGACGTCTGAGAGTCAAGCTAGCAAATAAATTTGTGTTATCCAAAAGCCTAATAAAATTGAACCTTTTGTATAGATTCTTTTATTCATTCATGTTTATTTACTTTATTAATTATGTCATTCATATGCATATGCATAACATGAGCTTTATACCCGAGCTCCGTTCCTCTAGAAAGGAGTAAAGTACCTATTGCTTTTATGAGGTTTAATGCCTCTGTAGTGGCTAGCGAAATACTCCCACTCAAATTGAACCTTTTTCGTTTATAGCCTATAATGGGTGAGGATTAGGATGCCTTACTAGTCTGTGATGGAAAATGATGTAAGGAGCAATTTGGGAACCTTTAGACTTTAACCTTAAACCACATATAGTGAACCTTAAGAGTGCCTAACCTATAGATAAAGCTATAATTCTTCTCTTTTAGAATTAACCAAAAGCATAGGGTTCATTCCTCTTATTCTATGTGATGTTTTAATTTACTTAGTTATTTTTTTTTTTGGCATACTAACCTTTTCTCTCATTCTTTTGCATTGGTTCAGGCTCATATCATAAAGTTGCATAAAGAACATTTGCTTGAAAGACATTCTTCAACAAAAATTTTTCATGGATTCCACAAAACGACTAGTTTATTCTTCATCTGTATTAACACCTTGTGAGTTACCCAACGAAGTAAGGGTCCAGTCAGAAAAGATTCAACTGAAGATGGGGGATTGTTTACCAATCGAATATGATTTTACTTTATCTCAAGAAACATCTATCCTCCTCAAACAAAATAATCTAGAGGATTTAGTTGATATATGGAAGAAGATGAGTCCGTCGAGACAAGAGTAGTTTTACCAGAGACACGGGCATATAGCACACCTTCTCGCAGTAGTTGTCGACGATCAACTAATCAGAGCTGCAGCCCAATTCTGGGATCCTGCATATAAGTGTTTCATCTTCAATGAAGTGATATGACACCAACATTGAAGAATATTCAATTTTATTAGGTTTGCACCTCAAGGCTCCTGATAAGATATATGTCAAAAAACACAAGTTAGAATTTCTTAAGGGTTTAGTTCAACTCATAGGGATAGACAAAGAAGTTATGGACTCTCATACAAAGAAGAAACAAAAACAGGTTTACCTACCTTGGAAGTTCTCTCATGAGTTTCTAGTGTACATGCCAACAAAGAACGAAGGTTAGATATATTTGCCTTAGCTATATATGGAATGGTGATATTTTCAAAAGTTTTGGGTTATATTGAGATAGCGATGGTTGACTTCTTCAAGAGTGTGATCAATGGTTGTAACTCTTCAACGGTAATATTAGCAGAGACTATCAGATCTTTGAGTTACTGTCATCAAAATGGAGGGCGCTTTATAGGCTGCATACAGTTATTACACTTATGGATGAAAAGCCATTTTAAATGGAGAAAAGGTGCTTTCTCAAAGTTTTATGTCCGCAATCGAGCTCCGATCAAGGAATTCTGTGAAAGTGGGTGGTTAGAACAAAAGTCTAAAAAGGAATAGATAACTTTTCTACAAAAATTAACCAATGCCGAAGTAAGATGGTTGGCCCCGTGGATGAATCGTGAACCTATGTTGTATCAGTGTGGGGATAATATAGTGGTCTCACTTTTGGGTTTATAGGGAGCAACAAATTATGCATCACTCCTAGTGAGAAGGCAATTTAGGGCAGAATAGTTCATTCCTATGATGCATGGACTTCATCAATTAGATTTCTCCTACAGTGAGCCAAAAGCATTTCAAAGGATGAATGAGATGATTAAAGCATGCAAAAATCCTCGAAGAGTGAGTCCTAGACCGTTTACTAATAAAGTCACTCCAGAGTATTTACTTTGGAGAGCAAAACAAAGATAAGAAATTGTATTTACTTATGAAAGCTTTCAACTGCCAATAGGAGGAAAGTTTGAAAAGGCACCATCAGAATTAGAGCTTGCGACAAAAGTGTTTTGAGTCTGAAAAGGATAAGTTAAAGAAAGAAATCCAGAAGCTTCGAGAAGAAAAAGACCACTGGAAAGATAGAGCTAAAAGTCATGAAGCCAAAGTTCGCAAGATTGCTAGAAAATGCGATATCGCTGTTAAAAACTTAACAGAGCTACACCAAGAACATAAAAGGTTATGTGTGAGAGAAATGGCCAAAGAGATAACAATTGTTGAGCTAACTGAAAAGAATGCAGGATTGAAACAAGAATATGCTGAATTGGAAAAAGAAAGTACCCAAATACAGACAGAGAATAACATGCTGAATAGTTATCTAAGCAGGCTGAGATAAAAGTTGAATGAACATGAAGACCATATTGCTGCATTGGTTAGAAAGCATAGAGAGTTATCATACCAAGTCTGGTGTGGTAAAAGAGAGAACTTAGGAAAAAGAAATACATTGAGCACCTAATGACCCAAATTTGTAAAGGGTATGCAAGGCAAGAGAGATGGTGAAAGAGGTAGAGGCATTGAAACAAGTGGTGACCCCAGTAAGAAAGCATGTACAGCATCTATTAAACTTCATCGAAGAAGCCAAGGCCCAGTATGAATAGATCAAGCAATTTTATGGTTATAATCTTAGGATGATAAACTTAATGTAAATAAAAGTTTTTTGGAATAAATGAAATCTTTTAGTTAAATACCGTCTTAAGGCAAATGTTTTTTGCATACATGCATTTTCATTCATTGCATTCTCATGCATTACACTTAACAAAGTAACCATGAGATAGTCATATAAATTTACTAATTCTAAGATATGGTATTCAAGGTTCAAGGATAGCTCCATCTAGCGAGAACCCTGTCCATCGATATAACACAAGAGCCAAAGCCAGACAGATGGAGCAAGAAAATTCTCATAGATTTGAAAAGTTGAAAAAAGCACAAGAGAAGATTAAGAATGAGTTGAGCAAGATTCTAGATGCTCTCAATAAGCTGAACAAGGGAAAATGAATAGAAGAAAACACAAGCCAATAAGGCCCCTCATCACAAGAAGTGGCTGACCCTTTGTATTCTTCAAGTTTTGGTCCACTTCAAGCCTAGTCTACACAAGAGGTTCCACCACAACACTTCACATATCTTACATATCTTGAAATGCCATCAGCCTCCAATCCAGGGCATTACCATAGCTATGTAAATTTGTTTTTACTGAAAAGGTAATAGAACCGATTCCTGATATAAATGACTTAAAAAATAAGGAGAAAGAAAAAGTAAAAGTGGTAGAGTCTCAGAAAGATCCAAAGATTAGTATGCTTGAACAAAGGTTATGGGCTGTAGAAGGGATTGGATTTTATAGTTCTGTTGACACTACTAGGTTGTGCTTAGTCTCGAATGTAGTCATTCCATCAAAGTTCAAAGTACCAAAATTTGAGAAATATAATAGTACGAAGTGCCCTAAAACTCATATCACCATGTATTGTCGGAAGATGGCAGCCCATGCCCATAATGAAAAACTATTAATGCATGTTTTTCAAGATAGCCTTACAGGTTTTGCTGCCAGGTGTATGTCCAGCTGGACAGAACCCAATTTATTCTTAGAGCGATATGGCTCATGACTTCATCAGTCAATATCGACATATTATCAATCTGGCTCCTGATCGTTTATCTTTATAGAATTTGGAGAAAAAGGTAAATGAGTCTTTTAAAGAATACGCCCAGAGATGAAAAGATGTAGCTTCTTAGGCACAACCTCTCTGACTGAGAAAGAGATTACAGTGTTATTTTCAGTACTTTGAAATCTTTCTATTATGAGAAGATGATAAGGAATGCAACTAAAAATTTTGTTGATATGGTAATTTTGAGAGAAATTATCGAGAATGCCATCAAGAATGACAAGTTAGAAGGAGGTGAAGCATCCAACAAAAGAGTCCCAAAGAATAAAGAGACTGAAGCTCAGGCTGTGAGCTTTGATAAATAGTAATTTGAAGGTTATCAACCCTACTCACTATAAGGATACCTTCCATATCACCTTGCTATAAATAACACTTTTCCTTACCTATACCAACCATTTGTAAAGTCATCTTATCCCCAAACATATCAACCTCCTCTTAGGCCTCAAAATACCACATATAGTCCTAACACTCAGCCTACCCTAAAACCCCAAACTCGTCCAGTTAGCCCAATGTGTGGTTCACGGGAGTAACAAACTACTCACGAAAAACTTGTATTTGACCCAATCCTAATGACCTATACAGAATTATATCGTAAGCTTTATAACAGTCATCTAATTGCTCATAGTAAATTAAAGCCCCTCAAGCCACCTTACCCTAAGTGGTATGATCCCACAATCCATTGTGACTATCACTATGAGATTGTTGGTCACTCCACTGAAAATTACATCGCTTTGAAACACAAAGTGTAATGGTTGATCAAGGATGGAATGATTAGCTTTGATACATAAGAGGTGACTACACCAAATGCTAGTGGTAATCTTTTGCCTAAACATAATGTGAATGCTTTGAGTGAAGAACAGGAGTGCCATTTGAAGAAAAAAGTGGTAGATATTAAGACACCCCTTAGTCAGCTATTTGATATTTTATGAAAAGCTGACATGAAACAACCAATGAGTCCACACAGCTATCATGGAGTATATATAACCGGCACTAGTTGTAAATAACATAGTGGGATAATGGGTCACTCTATCGAAACTTATGAGCAGTTCCACCAAGAGGTGCAAAAGCTCTTGGATTTATACCAGATGAAGGTCTACGAAAAAAGAGAAGACTTAAAAAGTGTTGAAGTGTCCATGACTAATAAGCCTGCAAAGCTGTTTCCAAAATCGGTGACAATTCATTGTGGGAACAAGCCAAAGTCAATCATAGACAAACTCATTCTCAGGCCGATAACTTTTAAAGTTTCAACTCTTTTCCCATATAAGGATGATAAAGCTGTACCTAAAAATATGGCTACAATACAGTAGTTCAGGGACAAGAAAGGGATGTCTCTGAAGCTGATGCCTCTAATATAACTGGTGTAAGGAGGCATTACCCGAAGTGAAAGGTGCTACACTCCAAAAATATTAGAGAAGGCTAGAAGAGAGAAAGCCAAGAAAGGAGAAAGATGAAATAACCCTGAAGTAAAACCTGAGAAAGATTGCCTGAAGCTAATGTCAGAAAAAGAGGCTTGTGAATCTTGAAATTGATAAAACATAGTGAGTATTCAATTGTTGAACAATTGAACAAAATGCCAACACGAATCTCATTACTATTATTGCTATTAAACTCAAAGCCATATCAAAATACCCTGCTGAAAGTATTGAATTAGGTATATGTGGCACATAATGTATCTGTTGAATATATGAACCACCTGGCTGAAAATCTAATCATGTCGAATTACATTTCATTCAGCGATAATGAGATTCCCTCGGAGGGAAAGGAAAATGCTAAGGCTTTGCATATCACAGTCAAGTGCAAGAGCCATATCATAGCCGAAGTTCTTATTGATAATGGCTCCGCTATCAATGTCATGCTTATGCCAACTTTGGCAAGGTTACCATTGACTACTCTCATATGAAAGACAGTCAGATGATCATGAGAGCTTTTGATAAGACCAGAAGAAAAGTCCTGAAAGATATCGAGATGCCCTTGCAAGTTGGGCCGTGCACTTTTAATGTGAAGTTTCAAGTGATAGATATCTCTTCCTCCTACAACTATCTACTGAGAAGGTCATGGATTCACATGATAGGTGTTGTACCCTCTACTTGCACCAAAAGATCAAGTTTAATGTAGAAGGTCAATTGATAGTGGTAGTTAGAGAAGAAGATATACTAGTGACCCAACCGTTGAATGCTCCGTATGTAGAGACTATCGAAGAAGCAGTAGAATGCTCTTATCGATCTTTTGAATTAGGTAATTCTGTAGGTGAAAGACTTAAAAATTAACTTTTTTTAAGAATAGTGATGAGCCAAGTCATCAATAAGGGCTGGTATCTAGGATTAGGGCTCGGTAAAAACTTATAAAAATAAAAGAATCCCCAACAGTGGCAGACAATAGTGAAAAGCTAGGCTTAGGCTATGAAGTAACAGAATGAGAGATCAAGAAAAGGTCAGTGGGTAAAATAGTAAGACTAATGGTTATTCCACACCTGTACGAGACTTTCAAACCTGAAGGATTCATGTACCCAAATACAAGAAAAATCATAGAAAGAGCTTTTGTCCAGTTAACCATTCATACTATTGAAGATGAAATGGGGCTTAACCAAGAGGGGTGGGTCTACTTTTCTCCTTCAAATTATAAGCTGAATAATTGGAGTGCCATTGAAGTCTTTTTGACTTTTGAAACTAATTCAATATAATTGTACATCTCAATAGTTATTACCTAAGGCATTGGGGTGATCTTTCTTGTTTGGGCTATTCATCTTTTATTATTTTAATCAAAATTAGGAAAGATGCATTTTTATTAATTTCTTCTTGTGTCTTTATTATTGCCATCTTTCCAAACACATCTTGTCAACATATCTCATTTCATCCAATTTCAGGTCTTTAAATGAACATGAAAATAATCATGATAACAATCGAGAGGTTAGTTTTTAGAATTCAATTAACACTGATAAACTTAACAATGAAGAGAATTCTGAAGAATATGTTATGCCTCCAGACCTAATGAGATTGATTGAACAAGAAAATAAGCCAATTGAGCCTTATCAAGATATAGTTGACTTAATGAATATGGTAGATGAAGAGAATAAGAAAGATGTCAGAATTGGCACTTCACTTTCACCAGGAGATAGACAATATTTGGCATATCTACTTCGAGAATTCATGGATGTATTTGCTTGATTTTATCAGGATATGCCAGGACTGAGCACAGAGATAGTAGAGCACAGATTACCCTTAAAATCAGAATGTAAGTCGGTTTAATAGAAACTAAGGTGAATGAAGCCTAAAATGCTACTAAAGATCAAAGAAGGGGTGAAAAAATAGTTTGATGCAGGTTTTATACAAGTGGCTAAGTATCCAGAGTGGGTAGCCAATATAGTACCAGTTCTTAAGAAAGATAAAAATGTACGAATGTGTGTAGCTAGTCCAAAGGATAACTTTTCTTTGCCTCATATCAACACACTGGTAGATAACACAGCTAAACATTCAATTTTCTCTTTTATGGATGGGTTCTCAAGGTATAATCAGATAAAAATAGCTGCAGATCATATGAAAAAGATCACTTTCATGACCATGTAGGAAATCTTTTGTTACAAAATCATGCCTTTTGGGTTAAAGAATGTCGGCCTAACATATCAAAGGGCCATGGTAACACTTTTCATGATATGATGCATAAAGAGATTGAAGTGTATGCAGACAATATGGTTGTAAAATCTTGTGAGAATGAAGATCATGTCATTAGCCTCAAAAAGTTATTTGAGAGATTGAAAAGGTTTCAGCTCAAGTTAAACCCAACCAAGTGTACTTTTAGGGTAAAGTCAGGGAAGTTACTAGACTTTGTGGTCAGTGAAAGAGGAATTGAAGTCGATCCAGATAAGATACAGGCTATTCAAAATTTATCACCTTTGAGTACACTAAAGGAAGTTTGAGATTTTCTGGGAAGATTGAATTACATTTCTCAATTTATCTCTCAGCTTACCTATAAATGTGATCCCATATTTAAGCTTCTCCGTAAGAATAATCCTAAAAAATGGAATGAAAAATGTCAAGTGGCTTTTGATAAAATTAAGCAATACTTGTCAAACTCTCCAGTGTTGGTACCACCTGTTCTAAGGAAGCCTTTAATTCTATACTTGACAATGTGTGAAAATTCAATAGGATGTGTGCTGGGGCAACAAGACAAGTCTAACCGAAAGGAAAGAGTAATTTATTATCTGAGTAAAAAGTTCACAGAATATGAATCCAAGTATTCCTTATTGGAGAAAATGTGTTATGCATTAGCGTGGACTATCAAAAGACTCAGACAGTATATGCTCTATCATACCACATGGCTCATAGCAAAACTAGATCCAATTAAAAACATCTTCAAGAAGCTTTCTTTATCTAGAAGAATTGCTAAATGATAAGTAATGCTCTCGAAATATGATATTATATATGTAAGCCAAAAGGCAATAAAATGGGGTACTGTAGTGGAGTTCCATACAGATCGTGCTACTGAAGAATATGAACCAATGAGGTTGGAATTCCTTGATGAAGATCTAATGACCATTTCTCAACTGAAGAAAGGGGAGCATGGAGAAAAGTGTTAGAGAATGTATTTTGATGGAGCTGTCAATGCCTTGAGACATGGAATTAGGATAATTTTAATCTCTCTAGAAGAACAATACTGCCCTGTAATAGCAAGTTTAAATTTTAATTGTGTAAATAACATTGCTGAATATAAGGCATGTGTCATGGGCTTACAAGCTACTATAGATAGAAGAATGAAAGCATTAAAAATGTTTGGAGACTCAGCTCTAGTTATATATCAGTTGAAAAGAGAATGGAAGATGAGAGATTCAAAACTCGTTCCATATCATAAGTATATTTTAGAGTTGATAAAACAATTTGAAGATATCAAGTTTGATCATTTACCTCGAAAAGAGAATTTGATTGTTGATGCCTTGGCTACTCTGGCCACAATAATTCAAATTAATGACAATACTGACATTCAGCCCATCAGTTCATTGCTCCAATGTAGAAGAGAAGGAAGATGGGAAGCCTTGGTATTATGATATCTTACGGTATATTAAGGATCAACAATTCCCAATTTAAGCAATAGAAAATGATAAAAGGGTCATCCGAAGATTGGTTATGTGCTTTTTCCTGGATGGGGTTATTTTGTACAAAAGAAGTCGTGATCAAGTATTACTAAAATACGTAAGTAAGGCTGAAGTAAGAAAAATCATTGAAGAGGTACATGATAGAATATGTGGGACACATGCCAGTGGACACATGATGGTGAGACAGATGGAGAGTGATTTTATTGACTATGCTCGTAAGTGCCATAAATGCTAGATATATACTGATAAGATCCATGCTCCGTCATTTACTTTACATGTTATGCCACCACCTTGGCCATTCTCAATGTGGGGCATGGATGTCATTGGTCCTATCACCCTAAAGGCTTCTAATAGGCATTGATTTATTTTTGTGATGATAGATTACTTCACAAAATGGGTGGAGGCAGCATCATATGCAAATGTAACACGATCTATGGTTTGCAAGTTCATAAAAAGAGAGATTATCTGTAGATATGAACTTTCAAAGAGAATTATTTTAGATAATGCCAATAATCTAAATAGTAAGATGATACAAGAAATATGTACTCAATACAAAATCAAGCATCATAACTCGGCACCATACCGTCTGAAAATAAATGGGGCAATTGAGGCAGCCAACAAGAACGTAAAAAGAATTCTTGAAAAAATGATCGAAACTTATAAAGATTGGCATGAGAAGTTATCATTTGCACTGTATGCATATCGAACATCAGTGCGTACCTCTACTAGGACAACCTCATTTTCTTTGGTTTATGAGATGGAAGTTGTACTACTAGTAGAAATAGAGATCCCATCCTTGAGGGTTCTAAAAGAAGTTGGATTGAAAGAAGCTGAATGGATTAGAGAACGCTATAAACAGTTAAATTTCATAGACGAAAAAAGATTGACTACATTGTGTCATGGTCAGTTATATCAAAGAAGAATGATGAGGGCTCATGACAAAAAGATTCAACCTTGTTTCTTTCGAAAAGGAGATTTGGTCTTGAAGAGAATCTTCCTAACCCAACACGATAATAGAAGAAAATGGACTCCTAATTGAGAAAGGGCGTATGTGGTGAAATAAGCTTTCTCGGGTAGAGCATTGATACTGATTGAGATGGATGGAAATGATTTACCCCATCCTATAAATTTGGATGTTACGAAGAAATACTATGCTTGAAAAAAAAAGAGAAAAAAATGAAATGAAAAAATGAAAAAACAAAAGAAAAAGGAAAATGAAAAAAAAGGAAAAAAGTGAATGAAAAAGGAAGACTCAAGGCAAAAACCCTAAAAGGGTAGTTTGAGTCATAGGGAGTTTATCTAAGTTGAAAACCTGAAAAGGCAGCTTAGATAATGAGAATACAGTATCAAATTTCAAAATTCGTTGGCATGGAGACTAGCAAATTTGAAGGAGCTCTAAGTTGTTAAGTGCATCAGATGGTTGGGTTTTTAAAAAAATCTTGAGATGTGTTATCATAATTGTCCGATTGTTCATTTTTGGGCTTTGTCTCCCTATACTTATCCTTGTAAATTCTTTCTTGGCCAAAGTTTGCCAACATTTTGCTAATAAAAGATATTCTATTTCACTCTTTGTGTACCTTTTCTGTTAACTGTTTCCTAACCATTCTTATTCTTTTCTTCTTAATACCCTACAATGGAAGAAATGTGCAAATGCATTCTTACTTTTTGAGTTTGAATTAATGATTGATAAATGAATAATGGCATGAAAGATTTTTACATTACATTGAAAAAGTCAAGAGAATTAAAGGTAAAATCGAGATGTTCAGTTCCTAATAAGGACATTGAATTTGGAAAGAGATTTCTTACAAGAAGAATGTGAGAATTGAGTGGAAGAGATGATTGAGAGCTACACTAGCTTGATCTTAGAAAAGCAGTGTAATTTGGTCTTTGAAGAATTAAGGGTTCAAGGCCTAAGGAAAAAAGCTTGAGAAACTTGAGTACCATAATTGAATAGGAATCAATTAGCCAACATTTGCATAGCATGCCTTGAAATTTACACATGCAAATTGGCATAGTATATACTACATTCAAGAAAATATAGTGCATAAAAGCACGGGTATCCAACATCTCATATAGAGAAACAGAATGTGAAGCATTTTCAAATTTGAAGACAAAGTTGTCAGGTAAGTTTCTAATCCTTGAAATAGGATATCTCTCGGTATCAAGGTTGATTTGTAAGACCTTTGGGCATAATCTCCTGAAATTCCTTCAAACACGATTTTCAACTCCTTTGGACATGATTGTCAATGAGCAATTTATTTTTTGAAGTTGTGATGCCTCTGCTTAGAGGAGCAATCTATTTTTCAAAGTTGTAATGCCTCTGTTCAGAGAGCAATTCACTTTCTAAAAGTCGTTGAGCCTCTGATTAGAGGAGCCTTTTATTTTTAAAAGTTGTTAAGCCTCTGTTTAGAGGAGCTTTATTTATCTTTCAAAGTCATCGAGCCTCTGATTAGAGGAGCAATTTACTTTTCAAAAATCATTGAGCCTCTGATTAGAAGAGCTATTTATTTTCAAAGTTGTTGAGCCTCTGATTAGAGAAACTTTGTTTATGTTTTTCAAAGTCGTTGAGCCTCTGCTTAGAGGAGCTTTGATTAAATTTTAACACAAAAAAATGAAAAAAAAAAAAAGGTGAGTGAAGTCTTGAATGGGTGTTTATGTCTTTGCGCAAAGAGGAACAGCTGTAGACACCCAATTTGGTCCAGGCCCGGATTAATTGGGCCTGGTCCAAGTGGATAAGCCCATTTTTTTTCCTTTTTTTTTAAACTTTTATTATTTGTTATTACTATTATTATTTATTAATATACATATATATTTATTTATCTATTAACATATACTATTATATATTATTATTATTATTATTATTATTATTATTATTATTATTATTATCTATTATTATTATTTATCTATTATATTATTTTTATTTTTTCTTTTTCTTTTTATTCGGTTGGAATTAGGATAAAGATTTAGAGTTCTACTGTGAATTTGAGATTCAATCAGAGTCCAGATTGGATTCAAGGATTGAATCTCAATCCAAGAGGGAATTGGGACTGATCAGAAACTCTTTTGATCAATCCCTATAAATAGGTGCTGGAATAAAACAAAAAACGCACTGACAAAAAGAGAGTGAGAAGAGAAAGAAAAAAAGCCATTTAGAAAGGTCAGAAGCAATTTCAGGATTTTTTGGAGAAATTTAGGCGAATTTTTTTCTGGAAATTTTTTAAAAATTTTCAGATTTCGATTGAATTTTTCAGCGAAGTTTGAATTTTCTGGTGAATTTTTCGGTATCGATTGAACTTTTCGGCTAGCTACCCAGTTTTTAACAACTATTTCCAGAAACCAACCAACTTTCAGACAAACTTCTGACGAAAAACCTAGATTTCGATGACATTTTGCAAATTCAATCGGAGTTCTTTGTTCAGGTAGAGAGAGGGAGGAGGAAAGAAAGAGAAGAAATAGAGAGGAAAAGGGAGATCTGCTGAAAGATCGAGGATATAGCCTTTTATATCTGTTGAAAATGAAGTCGTTTTGGTGTTACTGTTCCCATAGGATCCGCGCGTTTTGAAATCGGGCAACCCGACCCGAGCGCAACCCACTTTTGACCTGCGCGCGACCCGAGTGTGAGCCATTTTCAAGGTCGAGCCGAGTCGGCCGCATCTCCAAACCGTTTTCTTTCTCGACCGAAGCCGAGCCGGTCCCAGGTTTTATTAATTTATTTATTTATTATTATTATTATTATTATTATTATTAGGTTAGAATTTTTTTAGTACTTTTTATTTTATTTTATTTTATTTTTATTTTTTTTTATTTTATTTTATTATTCTTTTCTTTAAATAAAATTCAAAAAAATATTTTTAAGGAAAAGTTGAAAGTATCAATTTTTCTTGAAAAATAAGTTTTTCTAAAAGATATTTTTGAGGAAAAGTTGAAAGTATCAATTTTTCTTGAAAATAAGTTTTTTCTAAAAAATATTTTGAAGAAAAAGTTGAAAGTATCAATTTTTCTTAAAAATAAGTTTTCAAAAAAAAAATTTTTTTGAAGAAGTTGAAAGTATCAATTTTTCTTGTACAAAAGCAATGAATTTTTTAAGAGAAAAAAATTTATATCTAAAGCTAAATCATTTTTTTCTTTTTATTTTCTTGAATTTTCTTTAATGTTAAATAATCCGACGGTGAAGCCTCTGCAAGTGAAACAATAGTCTCCTTGCATACTCTTGAGGTGAGGGAATTTTCTTAATTTTTTGCTAAAAGTATTAGAGTCAATTGAGAATAATTTTCAATAGTTAATTACTCGGTAAATTTTTAAGGCTCATTGGATAACACAAAATTAAGCTAGTACCATCTTTCGATGAGCGTTGTGAGGGTGCTATAACCTTCCTCACACGTAACCGAACTCCCGAACCCTATTCTGGTTAGTAGACCTGAACCTATTCTTTTAAGGACCTTTAAGCTTAGGTGTTCCTTAAACGGATAAATTCTTTAGGTGACCAA